AGGCTATAAAAAATATTTACATATCATTATATTTATAAATATTTATTAAGTATAATTTAAATATTAGTTAATTAGGTTTAAATAAATATATCATGTTGATATTAAAAATTTTATATAAAAATTTTTATAAAAATACAAAATAAAAGTTTGATAGCGTGAAAATAAAATCTAGAATACGAAATGTGAAAAATAAAAAATCTTGTTTTTTAGTTTAATTTTAGAATTATTTTAAGAAGATTTGTTTCCATTTATTTTATATACAATATTTATTTTATATACAATAATTTTTTTCTCATAAATAAATGAAATTTTGATTATCGATGATTAAATCTCGATTTCTTAAAGCAATATTCAAAAGCAACGAATATAACTTCAGAAACATCAATTTGTATTCATTCACGGCGAACATTACACTACTACTACACGCTCTATAAGCATAATTGCCCGATACATCAACAGGAGAAGGAATAACGTGAAAGATTTGTACGTCGGACACGGAATGATACGCATTAATTATTATACCACCACGATATATTTTTCTTCCAAACCAAAAAGGGAAAAAGAAAACGAAAAAAAAGAATATTTTGTTGCATATGAAATTCCATTTCTCCATCGCTTCATTTACCTTTCGATTGTGTATGTGTTTTTTCTTTTAATTTTTTCTTTGATATTTGTTATATCGAAAATAAATTGAAAACAAAATCAACCAAATTAAAATTAATTATTTTCTTTTTTAAATATATAAGAAAATTTATCAATAAATTATTAATTTTTAAGCATTTTTATAAATAGAATATAATGCATTGAAATTTAATTATTTAATAATTTGTTCAATAACAAATAAATTATTCTGTTTCAATCAATTTCTTTAAGTTTTTATGTATAAAAAATATTTTTTCGTGATAAAAAAAATCATTTAGAACTATCAAATCAAATGGGTACATCATTATATGTATAAAATATAAAAATGTATTCAAATTATAAATATTTTTTTGAAAATAGTTTTGTAGAATCGAGGTTGAAATAGTGTCAGAATTAAAAATCGATTTTTATATTTCCACTTAGTTATTCGATTCATCAATCTTTTATTACATCTTAATCTTTTTTTTTTTTATATTCAAAGTCATTTTTGTATCTTTTTCCACTTCGATTTTCCTAAATATTTACGAATAATCTGCCTTGGACAACTTAATTCGATTTTATTCGAAATTTGAACGATTCTCTGATAGTCAAAACGATTCGAAGATATTTCTTACAAAGCTTCTTCGTCTACTCGAATTTTTTTTAGCCTCATTCGATCGTTTGACCTGACTCGATTACGATAGTGGAAAACCAAGACCCATTGGTTTTTTCTGGTAGAATATTATAGGAAGGCTACTAGGCAGGTAGATGTTGGGATCTTTTTTCTCTAACCTACCACCTTTCTTTTGGGTATTGCTTGCTTACGAGATAAGTAAATATAGATTTTAGTCTTGAACGATAGATGAATATATGAGCTTTTTAGTAGTTCTGTCAGTGGAAGTGATTCGTATATGATTTTTATTTTTAATAACTGGATTTGTTGGAATGCATTTATATATTAAGAAGACTCTTTTTTATTTCGATTATTTATAGCGATATATGATAAGGAAAGATTCGAAATATTAGATCGAATTTTTAACTCGAATGATATTTATCTAAATATGCTATTAACTCTTAAAAAAATATATATATATTTTCATTTATCTAACATACCTAATTTAATTCTAATAAATTTATGATTGAGATAAAACTTGTTATTATCTTTGGTAAAAAAAATGGCTCTCTTGATTTAACTTAACCTAATTTCCTTCTATCGATGATAAATTCGTTTTTTGAAAATTTAAACATCAACTTCATCTAATTCTCTAACTCTTTTCTTGAAAATATTACCAAAAGAAAAGAATTATTCATTTATATTTATTAACTCTCTTTTTGCAAAACAAAAAAGAAAAAAATTCTCAATCTGTTCATCCATACATTTCTATACTAAGATTGATAACTCATTTAATCAATAGGAATTAGTGATTTTACTGATATCTAGCCAATCATAAAATTCTATATAATGTGTATATATATATATATATATAATATTATATTGTTTCCTTCGTATCGAAGATAAGAAATTTGCAAATTCTTTTTAAAATATATAGAATGAACTCTTTTTTTTTAATTTAATTTAACACTGAAAATAAAATGATATTTTACAATGAAATTAAATTCTGAAATAAATACTTGTACGTATAAAAATATTGATTTTGATAATTAATAAAATAATTATCTTATATTTAAAATATCCATAAATTATCGAATTGCATTTTTTGCTTCTGGCATGAAGGAGATGATACAATATTTTAATATGTATCATATTATTATTATTATATATAAATAGGTAGACATGTGGTACATACTTAGGTACATATTATACGTACAGGTAACCGAAGGCCTGAGGCTCTGTCCGAGGTAGCCATTACTCGGTGCGTATACGCCGTTCTCCATGGGGTGTCCTTTTTTTTTTTTTTTTTTTCTTTCCCCTTTTTTCATGCCAAGGTGATTTCCGTTCTTTTCCGTGACTCACGGTCGAACGACGTGGAATGAGCACAGAAAAGAAGAGAAGTACGACGTTCAGAAAGAATGTTCCATCGTTGTTGTTCCTCCCTCTTCTTTGTCGAACCAATCTATACCGCACTATTCGAGCACTCGAGAAAACCGCGAAAGAAACGATGGAGGAAGAAGAAAAAAAAAAAAAAAAGAAATGACCGTGTCCTCCGCGTTCCTCCAGTTTTCTATTTTTTTTTCTCCCTCCCTCCTTTCTACCCCCTTGTTTCTTCTTTTTTATCCTCAATGAACTGTTCTAACCCCCTCGCATTCCATTTCTGACTGCTTTCTCTCCCTCAATCATTGTTCGTTTCTCATTGTTCTGGTTCGAATCGATGAAGTTCCCTCTGCTAGAGAAGTAGAAGAAGAGTGTGCAAGGATGGAGGGAAATCGCGGTAACTGGGGCGTAATGCGTATCACGTGAGGATTTAAATCGAGAAGGAAGGAGAATATAGGAGAGGTGAAAGGTAGCCCGAGAGAAGAAATGAAGTATACACAACGAGGGAGGGAGGGGGAGGGAGGAGGAAAAAATAGTGGAAGATGGAGGGTGCTCTTGATTTGCCCGGTAGCTCGATTTTTCGTGGTCGACCTTTTGTCGAGTGGAGACTGCTCCCGATTCCTCTTCTCTGGCTTATGGGAAGAGAGAAAAAAAAAAAAGGGGGCCACGACATAGGAGGCGGTGTACAAGAGGTGTACGTGCGCTTACAGAGAAGTAGGGGCAAAGGAGGGTGCCCCGCTCGGTTGAGGGAGGAGTGAAGGGGTGGCGAGAGGGGTTGAAAAAATGGCGAATCTCTCTAACAAGCTTTCGAGCCCGAAGCTTGTGGGAAACAAGCTCGAGGCTGGTACGCTTGCTGTTGGGTCTCTTAGTCGTCGAGAGGGTAAGAGACGAGAAGAGAGGAGAGAAGAGCAGTGTACGGAATGAAATAGAGAAAGGAGGAGAAAAGAGGAGAAGAAAAGAGGAGAAAGAAGTACACTCGAGCGGAGTAAAGCCTAGCGTGTACTTACTCCCAACCGCTGTTTCCTTCCTTTTCCTTCACT